TTGAATAACGAGTGGGTTAGTTGAAATTTTGATAACCAACAAAAATTGCTGCAAAGTATTTAGCTCACGATCAAGTATTTGGATTGTAATTTTCTATACCCTAAAGTGTTTATCTAAACAGTATACCATTATTGGACATACATGTTGTATTGACTTGATGTGTGGACAGAAGAACCTAAAATATCTGTTTTGGTTTTTTGGACCCTTAAATGATGTTGATCAGCAAAGCAAATCATATAAATGAATGCCCTCATTTAATTCTGATGGAAAGAATATGGTTCAAAATTCTTTCTAACGGCCCCAACTTCATCTCTTTTGATTTTGTTTGGTGCCAAATAATAAGGGCTGTATCTTTCTTTCTAAAAGCTACAAGTTTTATGTCCATCTTCTGTCTAAACATTTACTAATTCTATTAATATTGCAGAAAGTATGGTTATTAATGTTGTTAAAAAAAAATCTGCATGTAACGCATTATTTGTGTCACGTAGCCTAATAGCCCTTAAACATTCGGTAACCTTTTGAAATAACTCAGTCACGTCATAACTCTATGTTATTACAATAGAACAATCGTTATTAGAATATGACTTATGAATAAACATGCATTATTTCAGTATAACCTACACTATTACAATATACTTTATTATAGAGACCTTAGAGTATTTCCTTTTTTAAAACTTTAAGTAATTATGTTATAACTTTTGAATTGTTTGTTAAGCCTTCATTGCTTATTTTGGTGACATCATTAAGTGATTTTGAAATTATGAACGTGACTAATAAAATGAATGTGAAATTATGAACGAGATGTAAGTTTGTGATTATATAATTGACTACTCTATTACCTGCATTAAATCTGTATAGCTTGTATTAAATTAAAGAACTTTTATTAAAATATTTGTGTATCTTGAAATTTGTTTCTAATTCTTAAAATTATTATGAACATCTTTTATATATTTTAAATTAACAATAAGAAAATACATAAACATGTTATACATTGTGCTTTAAGCCATCGAGAGGTCTTAAATTATACATTATCGTATTTTTCAACATTGCGTAAGATTTGTGAGTGTTTCGTTTGATTTTTTGAAAAAAAAACTTGGAATACATGTGCTTTTGGACTAGTTGTTAAACATTTACTACGTTTTAAGTTGAGAAATTGTGATGATATATTTTATAATTGTACTATTATATTTGAAAATTGTGTTGATTCTATTTACTAAAATCATTGTGAATATTTTTAATTTTTAGATATTTAAATCAATAATAAAACAATTAACAGACGTGCTTTTTGCATTTAACCTCAACAGGAGGAGGATTGGTAAGTTATGTGTTATCATCTTTTTTGACATACTTAGTATTTGGTTGCGGAGATACATTTGTTGGGATGATGATCAAATTGATTCTGATATTTTCTTTGATGTGGTTCTTTCTTGTGAACATATTGTAGTGCTTATGTTATCTTAGTTTATGAAGATCGTTTATTCATTTTAATTTTTCGGATCCACTTTCAATTGGCTTTGCAAGATTAATACTTATGTTTCATTCGGTGCAAGATTCATATTTATGTTTCATTTGGCTCTTGGGTCATGCGTCAGAGATGAAAACAGTTCTCATCTAGGCAAATCTCTGGTTGAGTTGCTCTCTGGTTCTACCTTGAACCGTATAATCAATACGGTAGCTATTTTGCCTGCATATTGACCTATCTGGTCTTGTTAGTCGTCACAAGACTTTGTCTTGTCTATAGCTTCCTTCACAAGGAAATTGGTACCGTGACAGAGAGTTGATATCAGATTAACAACTACTTGTAGTTTTTTCGACCTTTCCTTTCTCAATATAGAGTTACGTTTTACAACTGACTTGGATTTAAGTGAGGCATGTTCAATGTTGATGATGCTACTTATATTTTGGATGTCTTCTTCACGACAAACCAACCACAGAACCAATATTGTTACTATTCTTTATTAACTTGGTGATTTTATCTAAAGTCTCCTCTGTCAGCTATGCCGAACGACATAATGGTGTTACCAATAGAGATTTCTATGAGAATTTGAAGAATTATTTAGTTTTAGTTGATTGTTCCCCCAAATTATTCGTTGATTGATTGTTGAGTGTATATTTGCTTTAGTATTCTGTTCCAACTCTGAATTTTTAGTATATATGCATAGTAAAAATTAAGCCTATGGATGAGCTGGTTAAATTTGGTTATAATTAATTGAGAAATCTATCTTTCTTTTCTGGTTTCTACAAATTTGTTTTTCTTTATTGCACTACTACTCAAAACCTAACTCATGGCGAGGATAAGAAGTTTCTAGGTTATATGCTGTTCAAAAAATTGTTTGTGTGCATGACTAACTTCATCAAATCGTGATTGACCCTGCAATCTGATTAGCCAGATACATTGCAGATATTTTATATACTGCAGTTCTTTCGCTTCTAGTTTCCTGACATTGTATATTCAGTTCATCTAGTTACCAGAAGGTACAATATCCACTACTAAGTCAATCTGTTACTAACTTGAGAGTTAACATCATATTGGCACACAATATCTATCCGTTAACAATTCCTGACAGTTTGGACAGATGCCATATAATTTGTGAACTCTTGAGTGCTTAAGCAAAGCACCTCAGAGGAACCATTTATCATTAAATGCATTGCTTGAATACTAATATTTGACTCAATGCAATTACTATTAAACATATTGCCAAAGAATTTATAAGGTTATTGTGGTTCTAAATTTATTATTCCTTTTGGACAGTTATGCTTCTGCTTTTTTTTTCCTGAATGTAAAATAATGTCGAACACTCATCCTCTTGAGTAGAACTCACATAGGTCATACTATGTAACTTTAAATAACTTAAATAACCTTCTCTCATAAATATGAAATCTTCTTTACCTTGTGATCGCACTGCCTTCTGCTATATTCGGCATACAAACATTTATATTAATTTCTTTATCTTTTCCTCCCTCTTCAAAACTGCAGATTTATACAGACTCAGCTGAAGCAAAGGTTCCTGCAGTTCTGGATTACTTGGGTACTGTTATTGAGGTAATTGTTTCTATGAACATATATGCACTTTCCTCTCCCAACATACTAATCTGCAATCCATACATCACGTATCATATTCATGTGATATATGTCCATATCTACCTTACAAAATGAAAGTTGCAAACCAGTTTTACTTGGCCCCTTGATTTTCAGAAAATCTGGTTGTGTTGGATATGGAGACATGAATTGCTCGTGTCTCCCCAATGCCATTAAAACATTGATTATGTAATTGTTATGCAGCCTATGGCCATGTCATGTCGACAGGTATATTTTATAGGCAAGCCGCACAACCATCATATAGTCTAATTTGCAGGTGCACAGAATCACTATAATAGCAATATTGATTATGGGCACAGTGTCACATAATTCCTTTTATCTCCACGTAAATTCTTATATGGTTACAATGGTAATTATCCTTGTTATTTAGTACTTTATTTGTTAGTTGATTCTTACTCAATGGTTTGTTGTTGCTATTTTGTTATGTTACTTGTTACTTTGTTAATAGTTTAATATGTTTATTATTAGCTGCCTAATGGTTTAAGAAGTTATACCTGTTATATTGTTACTTGTTACATAGACTCAGTCCAGTGATAATACACATTAATTATTTACTTTTTTACACTATATTGTGGCATTCTCCAACTACTTCATGAATTGTGGTTATTGTTTATATTACAGTAGTTTTTTTTAGGAACATGTTACTGTTGCTAAAAATACACAAATTGTCGTTACCATGTAATAGTTCATATCCCAATTATGTATTACCAGGCACCAAATCTCAGTGCGTAATGCAGATACATAAAATAACATTGCGGTAGCAACATGGGAACAACTCACCTGAAAAAAGGATTTTGTGTAAAAGAGGGGGAAAAGGGAGAGAGCGACAGATGGTGGGAAAGATCTGTGAAGCATCTGTAAGGGAAGAATCAAAACAACTCATAGTAAAGACTATTCAGCTTTTCCCCCTCTTAATCCAACTATAATCCAAAGATTCATAATCATTGTCATATTCTTTTTGTTAAGATAACATTTTCATACGTTAATATAAAATGTTAAGAGAGCATAATGGTCCACCAAACATGCGACAGTAATATGTAACACATACTCCTGTCCTATCCTATTTTTAAAAAAATTGCTGTAGGGTACAGCTTAGTATATACTTGACAATGTAGTGCAATGTCTGGGTAAAGCGCGGACAAACCCCTGCGGGAGATCTGAGATTTTTGTTTCCTCTCACATCTTATTACTACTGCTTAACTATTTTTTCTATGTGATTTTGGAATTTTATTGACCGTCATCCGTGCAACACTTCTTGAAGAGAGGGAAGTGATAAATTCATGTGCATCCTTCTATAATAATTTTCCAAACACCTTTGTACCAACAATCTGTTACAATAACATTGGGATGAATCGTCTAAGAGCAGTGATTTTAAAACACGACACGTTCTTCTAGAGTCAAACCTCAGTGACACACTGTAACAAATAGACTTTTAGAAAATAATTAGGGAAAAATGCTTCCAGCCTCCAAAACCCAAGAAAACATGCTTCCCCCTAAGACTTTGTCAACGGGTGCTTTACCCCTAAAAATAAAGATTTTGTTCTCTGTGCCCCCAAAACACAAAACCCAAGAGATTAAAATATGTGAAGACCATAATACCATTCTCTCTCTCTTTTTATCATGATGTACTGAGATGATAGTTGAAATGATTGATGTAGATTATTTTATTATTTTTGTTTTTTATTATTTTCGTTGTTGATGAGGGGAACTAACTGTTTGTATTGGGAGATTGTTAAAGTTACGGGTTAATTGTTAAGGTTACGAGTTAATTGTTAATGTTATGGGTCAATTGTTAAGGTTAAGGATCCCTTCTCTCTCTCCCTCTTTATCATGATGTTACTGTGATGATGTTAAAATGATTGAAGGGGATTGTTATTTTATTATTTTTGTTTTTATTATTTTCGTTGTTGATGAGAAAACTAATTATTTTTGTTTGTATTAGGAGATTATTAAGGTTACGGGTTTAATTATTAAGGTTACGGTTTTAATTGTTAAGATTACGGGTTTGTTGTTAATGTTATGGATCGGTTGTTAAGGTTACGAGTTGGTTGTGAAGGTTACACGTTGATATATATATGTATATATATTTTGAGTGGAATGAATACTTTGGGTCACTTGGCCTAGGTTTGTTGTTAAGGATATGCGTTGGTTGTGAATGTTACGTTTTGGTTGTGAAGTTAACCTACACAACAAACGTGTAACCTTAACAACCAACCCGTAATCTTCATAACCAACCCGTAACCTTAACAACCAACCCGTAACCTTCACAACCAACCCGTTACGGGTTTTTAGAATATTCGTTGTGAAGGTTATAGGTTGGTTGTTGAGGTTACGGGTTTGTTGTGTAGGTTAACTTCACAAGCGTAACATTCATAACCAACGCATATCCTTAACAACAAACCTGTAACCTTAACAACAAACCCGTAACATTAACAACCAATCCGTAACCTTCACAATATATATATATATATATATATATATATATATATATCTCAACGTGTAATATTCACAACCAACCCGTAACCTTAACAACCGACCCATAACCTTAACAACCGATCCATAACCTTAACAACAAACCCGTAATCTTAACAATTAAACCCGTAACCTTAACAATTAAACCCGTAACCTTAACAATCTCTCAATACAAACAAAAACAATTAGTTTCCTTATCAACAACGAAAGTAATAAAATAACAATTCCCTTCAATCATTTCAACATCATCATGATAAAGAGAGAGAGAAGGGATCCATAACCGTAACAATTGATCTGTAACCTTAACAATTAACTCGTAACCTTAATAATTAACCTGTAACTTTAACAATCGCCCAATACAAACAGTTAGTTCCCCTCATCAACAACGAAAATAATAAAATAATCCCCATCAATCATTTCACCTATCATCTCAATACATCATGATAAAAAGAGAGAGAGAAGGGTATTATGGTCTTCACATATTTTAATCTCTTGGGTTTTGTATACATCATGATAAAAAGAGAGAGAGAAGGGTATTATGGTCTTCACATATTTTAATCTCTTGGGTTTTGTGTTTTGGGGGCTCAGAGAACAAAATCTTTATTTTTGGGGGCGAAACACCCGTTTGACAAAGTCTGGGGGGAGCACGTTTTCTTGGGTTTTGGGGGCTGGAAGCATTTTTCCCAAATAATTATCATGCAGTCAAGTAATGATGAAAAGAACGGTACACCTACACCAATCTAAAGTCAAAAAATGATCCTGCCAAAGAATCAAATGGTGAACCAGTGCTTGTTATTGGCTTATGCTTTCCAGGTCTCCCCTGTGACTTGTAGACCTTTCATAATTATGTCTCCATGATTGTTGCATGAGCATGTTTCATATTCGATTCTTCTTCTGGGAATAGATATCTTTATAGTTTAAAATGTTTTTTTTTATTGTTTTAGCGTCCTGTTTATTGCTAGGATGCTTGTTCTTATTTTGAAGTTTGTAGAACTGATGCTAACCATGTTTGACTTAGGTTATTCTATTATCTGATGTGATATAGCATTGCCAATTAAATTTTGTCTCATAACCCTTTGGGCTGTTAGCACAATTGCATTATAATTTTGTGCTTTCTTCCTTTTGTGATCCCTTTTTTTGCAGGCAGATTGCAAATTCTTAGTGTTTGCGCATCACCAACCGATGATTGATGCTATACATGCATTTCTCAGGGTAAGAATAACCTTATCAATCTTCTGAACAGACGCTTAGTTCCCATTAGTGATCATTTTTTGTTTTTGCAGAAGAAGAAAGTTGGGTGTATCAGAATTGATGGTCATACTGCGTCATCATCGAGGCAGGCTCTTGTGAATGACTTTCAAGAGAATGATGGAATCAAGGCAGCAGTTGTATGGTTTCTTCTAAAATATACTGGAGTTGCTTTGTATTCAATTTAGTTGTCAATTTTCTTATTGCTACATTGTATAATTTTTCTCCTCCGTCATCAAATTGTTCCCTATTTTTTGCTTTATTAGGTTTTATGTTAAGACGCTAATTTGTGTTGTGCAGCTCTCTATTAAAGCTGCAGGTGTTGGATTGACTTTAACAGCAGCTAGTACGGTTATCTTTGCTGAATTAACCTGGACTCCAGGTGATATAATACAAGCAGAAGATCGTGCTCATCGGATTGGCCAGGTGGATATAATGTTACAGTGCTTGTGTTCCTTTTTTCTGACAGTTCTATTGTTTTGGTATCTTTCTTTCTATGTTAACCCTGTACTCCTATCATGAAGCAGTACCCATACAAGACACATACCCGACATTTACCCATATCCAAACTTCATGGACACTCCTTGGATATATGTATACATTTATTCAGACATGTACTCAATTATATGATATACGTTTCAACTTAAAACACTTGTCAAACACGTTTTGGACATATATCTTACACTTCACATCCATTTCTTGAAACTCATTAGACATGGGTCAGATTCGTTTCAGCCCATACCCAAGTTCATAACTATAATTTTAAAGGGTCGTTTGAGCGTCTAGTTCAAAAAATAGCAGTTTCTGATTTATAATGATCAACATAATATAAGAAACTTAAAAATGTGATGGGAATTTTAATTCTAATGACATGAACTGAAAGACAATAATGATCTTATGTAAATTATTTATTTTAATATATATATATATATATATATACATTTTACAAAATTTACAATTTTGTCGTGTCTCGTACATGTACCCATACTGGAACTCGTACCCGTTTCCATGCAACTTAGCTTTCTTTACTTTTGGTTCTTTCTTTACGATTGGTATCTTATTGTTGCTTTTGGCACGTCGGAAGCAAACTACTGTTGTTTCTTCAACTTCTACTAAAGTTCTCCCTGGAGCATACTTTAATTACTGGAATGGCAATCCATGCTAAATAATGTTATGCGCATCAGAATGAAACATGAAATTGTATACGCCAGATGCTTTTCTATATTAAGAGACAGCTGTGCACATAACCTGACATTTTCAAATAATGTTGTATATGAATATCTGTTTTGCATGTTGGGTAATGGCACTTGTTTGTTGTCCAGAAATTATATCTAATGTTAGAATTGTCCTCTTGACTTTCTTAGACAAGGCAAGGATGCAGTTAAAGAGTTGGCAGTTAGAGAATTGGAGTCAAGTTTGCTCATCACTTTATAGCCTCCAAATGCAATGTCATGGTACACAATATAAACGGCAACCTTCATATGTGCAATCACACATGAAAAAACTGTGCAATCTTTTGTAGCTTGAATGAATGGCCTGAAGCCTCATATGTCCACGTTACGGAAACTAGGGGTGGAATGGAATCAAATCGAGTAGTGCACTACTCAAAGTCGGATTCGCTTTGAATTTGATTCGATTCCAATGCTAAATAGTGTTTAGATTCAGATTGTTTATAGACACAGACCTTCAAATATTATTTGTGAATATTTGAAAAGAAAGAGTGTTTGTGCAGGAGGGAGAACTGACCGCGTGAGTGAGAGAATGTCTGGCGAGAGGAACACACGAGTGCAGAGAGTGATTGCGCATATGAGAATGGCCGGCGAGAGAAAGAATATAGATACTGGTAGCGAAGAGACGGACAAGCAGTCGGCGTATTGGGAATGTGCGGCGGGGGGGGGGGGGGTGCTGATGCAGTCACGTGAGAGGTGGTTGAAAACCAAGGATTAAAGTGTAAACTAGGGGATAACTAGGAAAGAAAATGTAAAGGATAAGCACGGATATTCTCTATAGCTAGAAGTATTAGACAAGCCAGGATAAGGTCCATTTCTTTTTGGGCCAGAGGTCTTCATTGGCCAGATACATAAACTTCTTTACTTTGTATATATAGAATGAATTTATAATAAAAGTAGGGGATGCATAGTATTTATAATTAGGATTAAAATGTAAAATATAAATAAATAGTTAATAATCAATCTAATCGAATATATATTTGGTTAAATTCTATTCATTTATGAACCAAACACTGAAGTTATTCATTTACTACTAAATGACCTTTTGAATTGAATAAAACTGAATAATTAGACAAGCAATTACCGAACTATTTGTTAACTATTTGGTTCACTTCCACGCCTACCGGATACTGCTCATTATGTGCATAATCTATTGGGTGGTTGATGCCATATGACACTAGTGAAATTACTAGATTCTCTTCACAGTACACAAGAGGCACTGGTATAGTCCTGTTTGCATGAATATTTGATAAGAAAACCCCCTCCACCTTGCAATCAATCCATGGTTTATGGAGACTTTAAACTGAAGGTTAAAGATGATTTAAACTGAACGTTACACCTTGAATGTTAAAGATGATTTAAATCAGAGTCGGTAAAGGTGGTGTAATGATATGTTTCCCTCAACAAGCTAGTAGGACCTGACAATTACAAAATCAAGCCAGAAATTAAATACTTGAAACCAGATTCAAATACTGAAAATGGTAACTAATTATATCTTATGTTGTTAAGTGATGTTAAGACGCATCACTAAGCATCAGCTCTAAACCAACTCTGCTTCTTTGAGCTGATTGGATTAACATAACGAGGTTCAATTTATTTCAAATTATGACGACCTGGGCTCATCTACATCTTCTATTTTATTAAGCATTTCTTCTGCAGATATCAATTATATGTGAATACTTGTTTATTCTGAGACATTATCTTGTTTCTGCCTTTATTAGGTTTCATCGGTTAATGTATATTATCTGCTTGCTTATGATACTGCAGATGACATAATGTGGTATGTCTCTGTACACTACTGCACTTCTTTAATTCTTTTTGTTCCCACAATTTGTTTTTTGAGTATGGAAGGTGTTTTTATGATTGTCAACTTGTGATTTCTCCAGGGACGTTCTTCAGAGCAAATTGGATAACGTGGGCCAGGTTCTCTCTGAAATCATGCAGCATATTTCTTTTAAAAGCATCAAACTCCTCTGAGTACATAATTATTACATTATATAAATATTGGATAAGAGTGAGACTGATAATACATTGCACCATCTTGCTTTTCTCCACCATATCATAACTTATACATTTCGTTTATTTGTATGGGATTATACAAATTCTTTTATATACTTTGACTAGAGTAGCGTACCGCTTGTATGTGTCTTGTTAAGTTTGCGTGTCTGACATGGCGGAAAATGCTAAATCTGGTCCATCTCAGATTCTTGTCCTTCAGTTGAATCTATTGAAAACTGATATCTGATCAGTTTGTGGTCAACTGATATGACAAACATTGCGTTCAATGGGCAGAGCAACGGAGATAAGATCATAAGATAGATCTGACCTACTGTGCTACTGAACCCTTGTTTTAGCTGTTCCTTATGTTTACCTAGTCACACTTGGTTATCCAATCTATTTTCGAACTCTATTTTTAAAAATTATTTGTGTATGACAACCATCTTGCTTCTTGTTTAGAATATAGGGTTAATTACAGAGACTCCTGTACTATCACCAAATTGAACTTACTACCCTTGTAATTCCGTTTTTACAGTCTTACAGATAAACCCCCTGAAAGAGTTACTATCATTGCAGATAGACTGCCCCCGAGTGAAAAATCTAATGCTGGAGATAGACCCCTGAAAAGGGTCAAAAAATTTTCACTCAGCGGGGTTGTCCACAACAATGGAACTAAAGAGGTAGTAAGCTCAAGTTCGCGATAGTGCAGGGTGTATGTCCGCATTTAACCCTGGAATGTATCATACGAATTTTCTCTTGTGGTGTTAGGATTTCAGAGTTGATCCCCTGATCATTTTTAGTTGGATCAATATCTTTAAAAGTTGAAATCGCCTGACTTATCAGATTAAATCCCCTGATATTTTTAAATCTCTGCATTTTGGTTCGACAGGTGCTTGATGGTGAGCAAAAAGAGCTAGAAGTGACCCTCAATCTGACAGGCAGCAGCCCTGCGAAGCATAAATCAACCCCTAAAAATCAGATGTTGAGCCCTGGAAAGCAGAAGACATTGGACGCCTTTGTAAAACGTTGTTCTACTGCACCAGATACTTCCCCAAAGTCCCAGAGACTGAAATTTTGAAACAAGGATGTCTCCTTTTTCTGGTTTCGTTCACCTCTTTTACTTGCATATACGTAGGTTGAATAGTTTTTAATGTTGTATGTATTTATATATCTTTCTCATCTCTGTAACCTAGTCGAATAGATCAGGAGTTGTAACCTATTTTCAATAGTCTTCGATTTTGATGTAAAGGTTTGAAGTCATAGTCACACAAAAACGTGGAAATGGAAAAATAACTCAAATGATCAGTTGAGCTCCCGTGTATAAATGTCATATGCCCGTAGGAAACCTCTGTTCGTTCGCAGATACTTCTCTCCATGTGGCTTTTATCTCTCTGCGCTTGAATATGACTACGAAATATGCTCCGAGTGCATCAAACTGTGTCACCTTTTTATTGTCTCTTCTGCAATCATCTAATGCAAACTTCTTTTATCATCGTGTTTTTTTTAAAACCCCTCTAGAGTCCACCGTCAGCGACAGTTCTGTTCTCATGTCTGCTGTTCTAAATCTGCGGTGTATATCGGTGAATGGAAAGAAATTTTCCCAACAATCTGCATGCGACATCCCTATCTGCAACTGAGCGCTTGAAGAGTGTCAGACGATGCTTACATATTTTATCTTCTTTTCTTGATTGCTTACGGATAATGAAAATAGATTACTATACCAAGGTGAGAAATGTACCCTGGAATTATCTGTACTTCTTCAAAATAGAAAGTTACGATTATGCTTCTCGTTCTTTATCCTTGTATAATAGTGTGCATTTGTTTATTAGCTCAAAAAGACGTATTAACATTAAGTGACGGTCAGAATTGAGGAACTAGTTGACCTTGGTTCTGTGCGTCAAATTAGTCCCTTTAACCGAGACTAGAATTAGCAATTGGGGAGGGATTAAATCAAAACAAACTGATGACAGTTTCAATGATGCAAGGGACTGCCTTTGAAACCGCTCAAAAGTCGAGCACCTAATAGCAAGTTTATTGATTTGAGGGACGGTTTCGAAAAATATGAAAAACGTAAGGGAGTAAATCGAAAAAAATAATAATAATGTACGCCAGGGTTAAAAGTGAAACTGACCGCGACCGGAATGCGATTCACTTGGGTTCTGGACTTTGGGGGTCTATTGATAGGCAGCTGCAAGTCTCTCCATCTCCTCTCATTTTCCTTCACCGTGTCGGTGAGCACAAGAAATAGGCAGAGGATGGCGTTGAGAAGGGCGTTTGGGTGGTCGGAGGGGGAGCTGATGAGATCCGACTGCAAGCCCTGCTCCAGGCTCATGC